TGGCGCGGTATGTTGTGGAATGTATTGCGGTGCATATTGTTGAAGTACGGGTGGTGCGATCTGCGGTGCTGGTTGCGACGTGAAGTACGACGCGGGTTGCGGCGCGGGTTGTGTTGCAGACTGCGGAGCGGGTTGCGATGCGGAGTGCGACGTGGGTTGTGGTGCAGGTTGCGGCGCGGGTTGTGACGCGGGTTGCGGCGCGGGTTGTGATGTTGTGGGTTTTTCTTGTAACCATGTACTAATGCGTACTGATGCTAAGTCGTCCTCTATTTCTTCCTCTTCGTCCTCGGTTGATCCGGCTTCTGCTTGTAGTCGCTGCACGTGTATTTCTTGCAGTTCCGTTCTTGCTTGTAATCGGGCCTGCTCGAGCTTGAGTTCGGCTAGCCGCTCTTTCGCCTCTAACTCCGCGAGGAGTCTCTTGCGTGAGACTACGGAGCGGCGTGACCTAGTCTCGCCCGGCTTTAATGTACGCTGTGATCTTTGATCACTCTCTTGCTGGGTTTCTTCCGTTGTAGTCGTTTTATCGGTCGCAGAGGTAGCAGTTGTATCGCTGCCCGTTGTGGTTTCGCTAGTGGTGTTTGATGAGCCACTTGCGGCTGATTCGCCCCCGGAGGTCTCTTCCGTGGCCCCCTGGGTCGTCTGTTCATCCTTACGACGCTTCGATGATTCTCCGCTGTTACTACGCGTAATCACCATTTTTTTCCAAAATAATATTTTTTCGTTCTTGCGGTTTGCTTCTTAATTCGGCTCTTCGAAGGACCATTAATGTTACGGATCGCCGTAACGCCGTTCGAAAAATGAATAAAACGCGTTGTTCTTGCTTATATAGGAGGCAAGCGGCGGTGAGGAGGAACTTGTACTTTTATTCTTCTTGTAGTGCCTTTTCAGTGGCTGGAGAGCGACGACGGACCCTACCGGCCGGTCCGTCTTTTATATGATTCGGCCACGGCTGGCCAGCGGACCCTTGCCTCACCCCCCGCGCCTTTCTTTATTTCTTTAAAATTTTTATTTATTAACAATCATATTTAATTATATAATATTTTTATATCTAATTCTTATACTATTATGTACACAATAATTATCTTATACTCTAAAAGGTTTTAAACCTTGTAATTTACAATTTTTAAGCTGAGAACCCTGCCCCGCACCTCAGCACTATAAATATAAAACGTCGTGACGCCCTATGCGTAGCTTCATTAATTCCGCGGCCGCATCACGATAACATTCCCTGATAATGTTATAATTATCTTAAGAAAGGTAATTTATATGAATGGTAATATGTATACAATAAAGGTGATATGCAACAAAGGTAAATTATATAAGAGTACAATTTATATTTTAAAATCTATGCTAACTCTCGTTATTTATTCGATGCCTTTATTGGGAGAGTTATTTGCATAGTTACAACATCATTCTTTCTTTATTATCTTATTCTAAATCTTATATTAATATAAGTTATATATATTTAACAAATTAAATACAATAACCAAGACTACGGCTGTTTTTCTGTGTTGTTGTATGCACCCTCGCTAGTTGTCGAACCTCGCTGGTCGCGACCCCCGTGGCTCCGCCCACCGCCCCTGAGTTGCTCAACCAGTGCTGGTTACACTAAGCAGGTATCTCGTCGCTTGCGTCGTGCATAAAAATACAAGGCAATTTGGCATTTTTGTCGGAGCTCAATTGACTGGCACGATCACTTGCGTAATGGCGCACACAATATTCGGCATATCTCTCATTATATCTATATATATATATATATATATATATATATATATATATATATATATATATATATATATATATATATATATATATATATATTTTCGTCTCAATTTAATGGAGCAATAATGTAGAATTGCTTACTTAATTAGCAATTGGTTTCTTTATTTCAATTCCAAACGATCTCAATTTTATTCTTGACGCATTTTAAATACATATTATAATATAAGAAGTTGAGTGCAGATTTACATTATTTAATTTTTTAATTTAGTTCTTATCCTTGTTTTCAGGCTGTTCATTAATTTCTATATTTAAGTTGAATAAATGTACTGATATTTATTATTGTCATAACTATTATTGTATTTGTGTGCTGTTTTTTAATAAATCCTGTAAATATAATGTTAGTTTTATTTATTTTGATTTTAATTATTAGGTGCTATATATATATATATATATATATATATATATATATATATATATATATATATATATATATATATATATATATATATATTTACGGCATGTGTGTATATATAACCTTATATTTATAGATATTACAATAAAGTTGCCAACTATGGATACTAGAGGCGCTAGTTATGCATTGCCATTTAATAGGTCGAAGATTGGTCTCTATTTCAGTTTATACAAAGGTACTCTGTGTGGCGCACGACGCGTAACAAACTAATTTTATATAACGGCTATGAGTCGGACTCTCGTACCTTTTAAAGAGGGGTATGCCTTGCGATGCCGTCTCCTTTAGTGTAATACTGAAAGACTTTGCCGAAAGTAACAAAAAAAGTATTAAAATTACTATATGTAAACTCGTACAACTCTGCGTTCAAAAACCGGTTTTCGTGACAAATTAGTAAAGTTTTGTTCCTTTTTAATTTTTGTTGATTAGACATATTTAGAAGCGTAAAATGGAAATCGTAATCACAAATTGTAAATTGTAACTTTAATTAGATAGGGACTTGATGGTTATTGTCTATAGCCAATTTACACCACAATCAAATGTGTTGTCTGCGTCATAGTCTGCAATAAGAATTGTTTTCAATAAATACCCTTCAAGTGGAAACACAGCAGTAACCGAAGCTATAAATAATTGCAGATTAACCAATAACTTTTTTATATACTCTGCAAAACCAGGGGAATAGTAGATTTGTTGCTGGCCTTTTAAAAAAGAGTAGGCTTTTTCCTTGAAGGTCCCTAAGTCGTATAGGTACGAAAAAATTTGTCGATCCATATGGAAGTTGTGCGAGAAAGAAAACTTTTAGTATATCGCGCAATGGTAAACCGTCAATCACCAAGATGGTATGGATGGCGAGTTTTGGCGCGATGTGCGATGGTGAAATTTAGCGGCTGGAATTAGTCCGAACAATTCCTTTGAGCACTACGCGTAGTAGATGCGATAGAATATGCAAAGAGATGCACCATCTTTTCGCAACGCCAGTGAGTCAACCCGATCAGAAAGAACTTTATCGTCTACGAGTCAAACCGCTCTGGGCTGGATGCGAACAAGTGGAAGGAGCTGGCATGTGGGTGCCCGGCACAAAGAACAGTATTCCACGTGAGGCCAAACTTGCGCCTTGTAAAGTTGCAGCGATATGTCATATAAGGAACAATAATGTGATATATGAAACAATAACAACAACTTAAGTCAAAATTCTTTATGTATGTTCTGTATTTAGGTGTAGGAAAACTCATACCAAAATAAAAATAAAAGCAAAACAAGGTTAATATGTATTTTAAATCATAGGTACTTCCTTTAATTTTCCATAAAAACAACATAAACAGTGATTTTAAAACACAGTTCACGATGCAACAAAATGGCCTTGTCATTTTTTATAGCTTTGCCCCTAATTGTCCAATGTTAAGTATCCTCGGTGATGTTGCAGTGGCGCAAGAGACTCCATCACCGCATTTCATCCCGTGAGTGAGGCAACGGACGGCTATAGGAATTGCCAGAAAGATTATTTGATTATATGACTTTTTTTTTTCAGTATAACCATCTTTACCCAAACCGGCGACGGGAAAAAGCGTCAGGGATGCAAAACGTTTGGTTCTGCAATCATTAATCCGTTTGCCAAGCGTAACAATGAAGGTATATCTTCTACAATCAGAGATACCTACGTCCAGCTGTAGACTTTTAGGGTCCGATGAAGAAAAATTGAAAGAACTGTACTAAGTTGAAGAGCACCTTCTTCTCTAGGAGTCCAGCTGGCTAAGTAACGCCCTCTTACCTATTCTGCTGCCCAGGAACAATGCATACAATGCAATGTTTCAGTTTAAGGAGTCCTACAGCAAGTACAGTTACAAGCTAATAATCGTGACAAAATGGCGGATAAAGAAACAGCGGTGTGTTGTTTTTTTGACATTTGACACCTTTGAATTATAACTGATCATTTCTTTATTATACGTTACGAATAATACCTAAAAACTGGTAAACCTAGGTTTACCTGGTGCTTTTTGGGTAAGGTTGAAATAATTTCATTAATTATATAAATTACCGCAGCTTTCGGCTTTTTATAAGCGCAAGCCGCACAACCTACTGTACGAGGTACTCGTGGGTCCTAACCTCATAACAGAAACTATTTTATTCAATATAGATTATAAATAATACTTATTGAAAGTCACTCTTTTCTATAATTTACCACTGGTTCGGAAAAAAGCCTCAGTCCTGGGTAAAACCAGAAAGAAACTCATACACGATTTCTTTAATTTTTACAAATTTAACACAAGTTATATTTATTTTAATTATTTTTCGGTCTTTACCCAACAATCACCGAGAAAACCTAGGTTTACTGGTTCTTCGTACCCTAACATATAAACATAAAATAGTCAATAATGATGGTTATATTATCACTTACATTTTATAGGTCCTATAAAACATCTTTAATAACTTACATACTTGCTTTTAGCCTTCAATAAATGTCGAATGTAGGTAGACACAGAATGTAGGTAATAAATGTTAATATTTAGACACTTTTTAATTAGATTTACTTATTTGATAGAAAGAAAGATTAGATAATATTTTTTAAATGGTTAATCTGAATTTTAGTGACAGGATTTCTGAGATAAATTAATGTTTTTTTTTTATATTTTATAAATTCTAATGTTAGGTTACACTCATAAGATTAATTCTAATTAAGCGTCACACGATTTTAATGCTATGTCATACTTTAAAGTCTACTTACGCTTCTTATACCACAAACACCAGCATTATTTATATTGTAATGTAACGCGCTGTTAGTCACAATATTTTCAATATCAGACATCCTTACTTGGAAGTAGTTCCGCTATCATAACTTGGCGGTTTCCCAAAACTAGGATAAGAGTCACTAAGGCCCAGGCCCTTTGGCCTGAGCTCGTGTCTGAGGCGGTGAACTTTGTGCGGTCTCTCGTAGATGTGGTCGGATGTGTGGTACCTTTGGAGAGTACGAGGTCGCGCCTTCCCGCTCGGTGGGGTCTGCGTGCATTGGTCGACGCGACACGCGTCTTCCACGCTTGTTACGTAGCTCGCTTCCGATACCTGTAAAGAAAACAGGCTTTATTTAGACTAAATAAACTGTGGCAGTTTTTGTCAGATAATTTTAACTAAGTTAGAGCTTCCTATCATATCCATACAACAATGAACAATAAAAAAAGGAATGATGAAATCGATTCTTTTATATTTTTAATTAGGCATTATGATATGCGAGTAGACAAAGGTTTTTCATCGGTTATCGCTTCTGTATTAAAGCTAAGGAATAAATTAATTATATTTAGAGAAATATAGCAGATTGCTATTAAAGCGAAAAGTTTAGAGTTTGTGTGAGAAAACATGAACAACATGACATTGTATATATATGTTTAAAGGTGGTGACTGACATGAGCCTTTGCTCGATGTAAATATTACACTTCGAGAATTTGTTCGTTGTAAGCAAATGCTCATGACACCTGAATCTTCGCGACAAATATGATTGACTGTGCCCAGCCTCCAGCAAATGTAGTCAAAATGGGGAAAGTAGAGGTAGTGTGTGCTGCGTTCCTTATAATCCGTTATTGCTACTTAAAGAAGAAAAGTAAGCGTATTTAGACAACTTTGTTCAAAATGAGAAATATAGCTGGCGTATTGAATAAAAAATATTTTTCCTGACTCGAGTGCGACATGACGTGTGTGCCCTCGACGGTGCTCGCGCTAGAGACTGAACTCGACATGACCAAAAAACCGACAGCCGGTGGAGCACGCTCGGGTGCTCGGCGCTCGTCATCCGGCTGCTCGTGTACTGTAATGCCGAATATTCGACTCGTAACATATTCACCTCGACCAAATACTCATGTCAGTCGCCACCTTTAATATCAATAGTATTGCGAATCATCTTTCGAAGGAATTGGTGTTTTACGAGCATTTATGATTTATCAAAGCTAATCTGATAGCGGGGACGATCCTTCACTTGTCACAGAATGCAAAAGTCTGCAATCCGATAAAATCCGTAAATTTAGTCTTATTAAATTATAATACTCGCGAGGTATAAGATATCATCATGATTCATTTAGTTTCATGTGGCACATAGTAGCACATCATGAACACATCACAGCACAATGTTTGTATTTTCAAAATAGACGACGGCGGTGCGAATTTAACAAAAAAAAAAATAGAAACTACTTGTAAAATTACTACATGATAGCACATTTCGCGCGCACTTCGTTATTTACATTTTATTACCTATATATATATTATATCAATAATTCTAGAAGCCAGTGTTAATATAATGGGCATCAAATTCTTCCCCACATGTGAGAGGCCTATGTCCAGAGGTTAAATTATAAAAGAAAATGTATGTAAGTAACAATAAAAGCAGAGAATAGAATGAGCGACATTTTTTTTTATTGTTAAAAGAGTTTATCAAAGCTATGTTTATCGCTATACGTTGTTGTTTTCATTTTATAATGCAGTATTTTATTTAAAAATAACTTTTTTCCTCGTTTCTCTTTGACAGTAGAAAATATAAAAATAGATGATATCAAAGTAAATCATAAGGCTTGAAGTATTATTGAACCCCTATTAGCTTTTGGCTTCTTGTTCGGCTGTTTGTTTTTTTTCTCTTTTTCATACTACTACAATTTAGACAATCAAAACTATGATACTACGCATGTTTCGCCTTTACTTCGTCGACTGTGAATCAATTTTAAATATTCGTTTTTTATTAAATTATATACAGGGTTATCTTGCATTAATCGATCAAATTTGCAGAGAGGATTCAGAATGAGTAATATAGGCAAATGGTGAAGAAAAATACAAAAAAATCTCGAACATTCTGTCCTCTTTACCTTTTAAATTTAAAATGCGTGGTAATGCATGACTTTAATTGATTTTACCGCGCACGCACGCATTCGTAAGAGTTGATCGGTTGGCAAAAACGTTGTTGCTCATAAATCACATTCAATTTGGAATAATTTCAAATAAAATTAGGTCTTATTGAAAATTAGGCCAGTGAGTCGTCCTCTCTGTGCAGAGATGGAAGAGATGACTGACAGAAATTCCCTTGGACAGCCTTGGCGAGAGACCAGAATGCACGGATTCCCGAAGAAAGGCAAATTAGTTTCTCGCCAATTCTGCCGATACACTCAGAGCTTGCCTTGGCAATGACTCTTGGGAAAGACCTGGAGGCGGAATTATAGTTTTTTTTTGAGAGCGCTGGTGTTAAAATCCCGAGACGTTGATACGTCAGGCTAGGCCCGGTAGCACTCTTGATTATAGCGCGATGCTATTTTACAGGAGCAACCAAACCATGGCCGGGATCTGTCTCCGATGGGCACCACAGATGATGAAATAAAAAGTTCCTTACCCTGAAATACCACATCAACAACAGTATCAGCAACAACGCTGGGATCATCCAGGGAGAAGCAAACCCGCCCCCAAGGGTAGGACGCAATAGAAAGCATCCTATTCCAATAGGCCGACCGATAGTGCCAAACATGGCGGCAGCCTGCAGAATGAATACTGACTGGCACACTCCGGACAAGGCAATGATTCGTTATATTTTTGGATCGCGACAACATATGCATGTATTTATATGTCATATAAACCTTCCTCTTGAATCATTCTGTCTATTGATAAAAACCACATCAAAATCCGTTGTGTAGTTTAAAAGAGCTAAGGGTATTAGACAGCGGGAATCAACCTTGTTTATACCTATAAAAATATTTGTTTCTTCGTATTTTATGCGCTGCCATACCGTTCGTTAGATTGATGTGAAACTTTGTCAACTTATTGCTTGTACTTGTGCGAAGGTCATAGGCGTAGTACAATTAACTTATGCCGGCTATACATGTTGGCCGAGCGAAGGCGAGTACCAACGTATAGATACCCCATTGGTCTAGCATCGCCATTACCCTAGCTGGCCGAGTGCAGGCGAGCGCCAATGTGTATACGGTTCGTTACAGTAGGTGGCGTATCGTTCCGACCAATATATTTAAAAATTATAATATATCGTTAAATTTCATTGAATGTATTATCATTCATAATTAAACAATATAACTCTTCCAAATTTAAAACGATATTTCGACAATTATTTCTTTTGAGGCAGTAACGCGCCACATACCACCGAGTATAGAATAAAGGTAGTCATCCGTATATAATAAAGAACCAACGAGTATAGAACAAAGGTAAAGTGTCATCCGTATACAATGATATTACTTATAAGAAAAATAGTATATTATATTATAAGAAAAACCTTTTTACTTATAATATCATCGTTCCTATATAATAAACCAGAAAAAAACATTCGAATTAGCAAATGATTTAGCAGTTTATGCAGAAAAAAATTCTTAAACGTCGTAAACGATCCGTGACATGAACACTTGTGGGAAAACGCTTGGAGGGCTGTCATTTCACTCGATTGTTTGTGAATCATTATCGTGCACCATTGACATTGGTGGGCTCAAGACCGCGTGTCCACGATTAAAACAGTAACTTCGACTATAAAATAATTTTAAAACTTCTTTGTAGGCAATAATAATAACCATTAAAAGTAGATAAAAATAACTTTATATATGCGTACTCATGGCCAAACATACTTTTATTCAACTATTAACTCATTATTCAATTACAGAATTATATATGTCACAGATTTTTGATCAAAAGCCTAGGCTTTTGATCGAAAACCGCAAGAAGGTGCTACTATATGTTTTGTATTTTCTTTATGAAATTGACAAATGGATAAAATAAATGGTGATTGATGATTATTTTAAAACATCTAAATAACGCCAAAAATTACATCCAAGCGAAACCTGGGCAGGTCGACAGTAAAAGAATAGAAATACACCTAAATGTGCAGAACATCAAAGTAATTACAATTTAATCGTCGATTTTATACACCGCGATCGTGAGTGTCTTATCTTAGCAAAAAATGATTAGCCCGTTATGTTATTAAAAAAAGTAAAAACTAATCAACTAAAATAATGTTTTTATTTCTAATTTAACCACTTTAATGGGCGTCCCTTAGTAATGACACCTGTCTTATCTATCGTTTTATGCGCTACGTTTATCCGAGTAATTATTTACTCACCCGCATGATAGCATGCCGACGTGCAATTAAGTTAAACATAAATAACCATTTTTAACATTTTTGCTTGTCTGTCCGTCTGTCCATCTGTTCGGCTATTTCTCAGAATGGCTGAACCAATTCTGATGAAACTTCATAAAGAGATAGAAAGCATTACTAAGAGTGATCTAGGTGGCATTGATAGGAATGCGGGTTGCGATATCATACTTTCCTCTATCGGTGTGTATACTATTTTTTATCATACCTTAATCGAAATGAATGTACCTTAAAATGTATCATGACATATACTACTGACGATTAAAAACAATAGAGCTAGAAATTTTACGTATGCGTACTAAATTAATAAGTCATTGAATCGGGAGGCAATGTGGCAATTTCGTCCGTGAAAATAGGGTCTACATACAAACTTTCGACCAAGGTATGATAATACTTTTACTATCTTTTTACATGCTACTTACTACTCTGGAAAGACAGTGACCGTAGTGGGGGTGTAAGAATACGGCGGCGGCGACAGAGGGTAACAAACCTACGGTGTGCAGCACATGTGTAACCTTCCTAATAACAACTAAAAAAAAGCTGCGGTTGCCAACCCAAGCGCAGCAACTATGGCAAGTATCTCCCCATGCAATCTATGAGGGAGGCCTACGCCAGCACTGGACTTTCTAACCCACTTCAAAGAGGAAGAGGTTCTCAATTCGAATGTATGTTTTTTGTATGTATATTACGCGATATCTTCGCAGATTTTCTACTAATTTTTATGATTCTTTTTTATTAAATAACTTATACTTCAACAGTGGCCCCATATAAATATTCAGATAAAATTCGACCCTTTAAGGGTAGCAAATAAATATCAATATATGATATATAATATCTTTTTTAGCAATTTGAAGTCGGTTTTTAGTTTTTGTTTCAAAGTTATAATTATTATAAGCTGTAATGGTGACCCCAGAAAGCATTCTGTATTAATTGAAGTGTTGAGTAA